CTGTACAGTAGGAGAAAGGGATGAGAACTCTTGCTTGTTGAAATTTACTTTCTTTTAAATTTCTAGACATTTTCCATACTGTTCACAATATTTTCTTGGGCAATAAAGTAGTTAGTAACACGTATACAAAACAAAAACTGGAATTTGAGATTTGCTCACAGAAATGTTGCATTTAGAAGCAGAGGAATCTGATTAAACTATTAGAATGCTAATGCACACTGAAGCTGGAAGTCAGATTACAGCAAGTTTTAATGTAGTAGCACTGCACCGAGCAGAGGTGATCTTAAAGCTGGGCTGAGTTCTGACTTGCATTAGCAAAATGAAAGAGTTTTTTTTTTTTTAAAAAAAAAGTATTAAAATCCTGGAAAATACCCAGTTTGTCAGTGGCCTTATAAAAATAATAGAATTAAGGCTGAATTGTACAGGAAGACCGTGGTATGACAGGGACCATCAATGTCTAAAGGAGGGATTCCCTTTTCTCTCAGCTTCTCCCAGTCTCCTCTCTCTTTAAACGTTGCCCCACCACGTCAGTGGACAAAAATTTCTGTCCTGGGTAACACACCACCACTCTATTCCTTTGTAAATCCCACAACTTATGCTAGCCACATATAAAGCAATTCAATATTTAACATATTTAATATTTAAGTATATTTTTTCCTCTGTAGATATAGTACTCAAAAATATCATTAAAACTGGAAGTGAGGATTATTGCTCTGGATCTTCGCTGCAAGTTCAGAATGGGGAGAAAGAAGAAAAGTCAAGCGCAGGCCAAGACCACCACCTAGTGGCAGAACTTAAGCTCACTGTATTTAAACTTGCTAAGAAACAAGCCATAGAAGTCACCCCATTCTTACTGCAATAATCCTCTAGTATAAGGATTGTATCTTCCTTGAGAACTAAGGAACAATCCAGAGCATATGGTCTTGGTCTAGAAGGTACTTAACATTGTTACTTTTCACTGTCAAAGTTTTAAAAAATATATAAAAGTGAAGCCAGAACAAAACACAAAACCACCCACAGCTTTCCTTAGATTTGTGGGCAATAGATTTAGTAAAGCAGCTGTCCATGGTAAATTCAAACAGATGAAACTTCAGGTATTCTAGATTAAAGAGTAAGGAGTGCAAAAGTACCATCATTTAGGGACTGATATAAACATGCAGTGAGGCATGCACTGTATAGACATAGACTTTAGAAAAGCCCACAGAATTCTTAAATTTTCTCAACTATCCAAGTAAGCAAAAAGTTAAATATTACTAGAATCTCAACAGTTTTTAATTATTCAGGGCTACTCAAAATGAGACAAGAATTTCCAGCACTGAACAGGTGATGCCCTAAAAAAAGCAGAATAAAACCCTTGAGATTGGGGAAGTGCCCCTCATGCTACAGGGCCATTGCAAATGGGCCTATCGTTGTGTCTTCCCAATTGATAAAGCATTGGAAAGAGAGTGAATAGGTCAGATGTTAGAAACAAAAAAAAAATATATATCTTTTTTTAAGGTAGAAACAGTTCAGCAGAGCAAACGCTAAGGACACTGCCACGTACTTCAATGGCTCTAAAGCAAACTGCAGCACCTCTGTGAAAATGCCGTTCAGCTAACCGGTAGCTGTGGGAAATCGGAGCTGGGTTGAAAGGCACACATTAAATACGAAACTGCTGCACAGACAGTTGATTACTCTGGCTCCTTTTCTTCCGATTTTATGCTGTTTTCGCACAGCAGCACTTTGCCAGCTTTTCACATTTAAGCATTGCCCATACCTGTTGTTTTGGGGAATGTTACTCACGAGCATTGTTCTAGCATGTGACAAGCACACCGCACAGCTGTGCACACACAGGCCTCAGTCCTTTGGGCACAAGGAACATATTTCAAATGAAAATCAGGTCTTTATGCTCTCTGAGTAACTTAAACATACCCTATTTTAAAGTCAAATACGCTCCACCTACACAATACATAGCTACTTAGAATATTTTAAATAACTCATACTATTCGGAAGGAAAGGGATATACAACATGCAGAAATCACTCATAGCAAATAAGAGACGTTCAAATACATGCATTTTTCTAATTTCTGAAGTTTTAGCCCAGTAACATACACCTTGCCAGGCTAACCTGGTGTTCTGTTATTGGGGGGGAAAAAAAAATCCCTTGTGTCAAAGTGAATCTGATCTCAAAACCTCTCTGCGATGCAAGGCATAGGGTAAGGGCTTAACAGGATCCCCAAAAAGCCAAGTCTTCCAGAAAGCAAGGAGAAAAATAAAATAAAGGGGGAAAAAAAACCCTCATCACAATAAATGCATATAGCTTTTCAGAAGGAGAAAGTGCCTGAACCAGTTTTGCACAAGCTGCTTTATCATACTGGGACTGGACCGCTGTTCTTCCCAGCGAGAGGGCCCCGGTTTGGGAAGGGGGGGACTCACCTGAGGTACCTCTGCTGCTCCTCTCGTCCCGCATCCCGGCGTGGCCAGACGCTCCCGCGGCAGCGCAAGGTGTTCCCCGAGTCGGCCGGGAATCGCTGCGGCTCTCGGGCATCCCTGAGCCGCACCCAGATCCCAAAGATGCCCAGCTCTTCTGCACGAGCAGAGCACACAGGAGAGCAGCTCCTGATGCTGGCAAGTGGTAGGAAAGCCTGTACTTTGGCACAGGCAGGCACTGCACCTTCCACAAGTCCATCCGGAATTTATAGTCACTAGGCAGGTATTTGGAATCTTATTCCCTTCCTTGTATCTCTCCTACCTGAAATAAGCTTTCAAAATGAAATTAATTTTAGCTTGCTAACGTGTTAGATAGAGCAACTCTTTCATACTCGAAAAAGAAACCACCTGTTGTGACACAACCTATAGCCACTGCTTTCAGTCTATGCTGAAGAGATACAAGTTTACCAATTAGTATTCACAGATTGACTGCTGGACCCGAATCTTTCATTTAAAATTATAATTCAAGGTCTGTATTTGCTAATTTGCCAAGCTGGCATCCCCAAAAGCTACTCCTAGTGACTAGAATTTCCCTGAGCACCAAATACAGGTGACAAAAGCAGGAATAATTAACATAATTAACATCCATCTCCATTATAACTTTTAGCAAGTCACTTTAACAAAACAAAAAAAAGTCAACAGAAGTCAATCTGGTTTTAGAAAATGAAGTTGCAGCAGAAATTAAGCTATAGATATGTAGCTGTATAAACAAAAATGCTTGTGCTATAACCACAGAAACAAGCACTTTCACTGCTGTTGCAACTAGCCACTTAGGTCAGTTTGCTCAAGGCTCCTTCACCAGCTTCCCACAAAGGAAACCAGCAGAAAGACCATCCAGAGAGGTTAAGATCATACATGGAAAAAATGGAGAAGCAAAAGGCATCCTAAGAAAACCTACTGCCAAAGTAGGACCCCTTGAGGGTTTTTTTTTCCCTTTCCTTTTTTTTTTTTTTTTTTTTCTTCTTCTCCTTTTTAATTATACTGCAGAAGAGAGATACCTGCAGGAACATCACATTATAGTCTAGAAGAATGGACATCACAAGTGAAGTATTCATTTGAGCTTTATTTTGTGTACATTTGCTTATTTAAACCAGGTTCACAGAGTGTAAAACTTGCTTTTAGAATATTCTGTACAGAGATCAATGCATAGGTTTATGACAATTTATTTATAAGTGCATGCCAACTACAGAAAAAAATCTGTATTAAGAAATTTTTAACAGAAAATTCAAATAGGTGAGCATGAGAAACTGTGTTTCATTTGTAAATTTTGTACATAGGCCATTACAAATATTTCCTGCTACCAGAAAAAGGATAAAAACTATTTAAATGCTCTAGAAGTCCTATAATTGCACAAAGGTTCCACTGTGCATCCACGCTCAAGGACTGGAATGGAAACTGGAGAAGTGTTTAGGTAACTGTCCAACTGTTATTGCTGCCTTTTGAAGAATTGGAACGCAATCGATGAAAACATAGAATGGGAACAGCCGAACAGTACAGAAGTACATACTTAGATCTTTACTCCCATTAAAATGCCAAAGTTAACTACAAAATCTTGTCAAATCTTACATACATAGTAGTACACACACAGGGAAATAAAAAAGTTGCATAAAATTAAAAACTCATAGTAGTATACAATATATACAGAACACAGCTGACGTGCCACCCACTCGAACACTGCTGCCTGAACATGAGGGCACCCACGGCTCCAAACAAATCCCTTCTTCACCGGGTGCACCACAGCCCTACCCCAAACGTGAGGCAGCTGGACGTACGTTACTCCTCCCCACCACTGCTCCTGCTAACGTGGCGCTCCCCAGCGAGGCCTAGGTCTGATCCTCAGCTTGTGCAACTGCGTCAAGGCCAAAGATGATCACTTCTTTGTAAAATCCCCTGTAAATTTGCAGAATGTGGTCTATCCATACATCAGCATCCATACATCGTCATCTTTATGGAAAGAGATGCCAAATGAAAAGCAGTGTGTTGGGGGGTTGTTCTATACTACTGCTTCACTGTCTCTGTGAAAGTTGAATAAATTCTGTGTAACAACAATTTCAAAGAAAAAAACGCAGTAAATTAAAACAAGCTTTTAGATTAGCTTAGATAAATAAGCTTAAAAATAAGCTTTTAGATTAAGTATACCAGTGAAAACAGCTTAAATAGTGGCAATTATTAAAAAAACTCAAACCAAAAGGGATGACACCTAAATCAGTTAATTATCATTTATTGCTTTTACTGAAAATAGTTTCTCTATTCTGCTTTAGGGCTTCTTCAAGCCACAGCAGAAGTACAAAGGCTTGCTATGCATTTCCTTTAACCACTGACAAAGCACCTCAAAATCCATGCAGGAGCTTTTTAGAGCATTCAATAACTGCAAGGTAAACAATCAGAAGTGGAAGAAAACATTCACACAAAACACAATTCAAATAGATATAAAATAAATATCAGTGTGCAATGCAAAGGTAAGAACACTATTTCCTTTAGAGATATAAAAACACAGTGCACATCAAAAATAGAAAGCTCCATTACACACACAAAAATCACAACTATCTTCTTTGGTCCACATTGAATGTTTAAAACTGGTTAAATTACTGGTTTCTTTAAGAAACTGCAAAGACCAAACCACAAATTACATCCTTCACCATGGAACTGGGATTAATTCTGCAACTGTGGAATTACTCACGAGACAACAAATAGTTGGGGAGAGGGTCCGTACTCAGTAGGGCTGCAACTTTGTTCTACAGTATATTCTGTATTCTCTGCTCCACCAAAGACTGGGTTGATGGCTGTTGGTAAGTCGTGGTGATTTGTTCTCTGTGCTATTGAAAGTTAATTCTGAGCAATGTGGGATGTGCTGAGCAATACAATGCAGAAGGAGGCTATTTAAGACAGCTCTAGAAGAGCCCGCTTGGGTATCTGCACTGCACAGTGTTGTCCACAGTGCTGTTCTGCTACTGCCAGTCATAAAGATGCCATTTTTAAAGCCTACTAAGGAGAAAAAGGGCTTTTTAAGTAATTTCATTTTTCTTGGGCAACTTATCTGAAGTGACAGTATCTAGTAGGTCTAGAATACACCTCCCAAACATCACCTACACACCAGCTTAAACAAAAGGGCACCCAGAGCTATACACATGCACTCCACTGACTACATACAGCACCTTATGTCTAACAAAGCTGTTGGTGAGGGTGTGGAATGACAATTCAACGGTTCAAGGACATAAGGCCACTTATTTGCATCTCCCCTCTTTACTTGAGCTATGCCATGAGTTAATGTCATTATCATGGAATATTCTGCAGACAGACTATTCATCCTCATGCATCTCTCAGTAAACATTTAGAAACAGTATTCCATCCAAAAATGTAACATACTCTGTTAAGCCCCTTATACGCTGTATTATCTGCCTTATCACTGTTGCTGAGCAATAATACCATATAAAGCAGAGACATCTAAGCACCCAACACAATGTTTCAAAAGTGATTACAATGATCTATGCCGTAGAAATTATTAGAAGAAAATTTAACAACTGCCAAGACATCCTCCTTGTCAAAGGGGGTAAGTTACAATGGTAAATGTTTCATTGGCACTGCAATTAAAATAAAGAATGTAGTTCATCAGTGCAGTTCTGTCATATAAATTTTGTAAGATAGCAATAGTTCATTACAGAGTTATTATTTCAGTGAAGGATAGCAAGCTGTTGAACAGTGGTGACATAACATCATCCAGTGAGTTTGGAAGCTGGGAAGAAGTTTAAGTGTGAGGTGAAGACAGGAAAATCTAAATTACTGCATACATGCTTCAGGAAAAGTCATTTATTTATTTAGACAGCATTTCCAAGCTGGAAACAGAAATGCTTTACTGTCTGTTGAGTAACACATTATACCAGGTAACCAAATTCATCAGTAGTAGCAAAAACAAAACAATGACTTAGAGGCAGTATTTTAAGTTCTCTCCTCTAAACATATAATTTAACAAGGCACATTAGGAGAATTGTCTTCAATTATTTTATTATTGACATTTGACTTAATTTGCGAAAAAATGGTTTCAGATATTTAAGGTCATGGGAGAAATTTACGTTGCCATTTACAGATGCAATAATGTCATTGTCTGAAGTGCAACAACTGCTATGCCAAAATGTTGCAGCAGAAAGGAAAAGCGAACTTTAAAACAAATTTTTGAAGACATTCAATAGAACAGAATATATATTATATGTATTTAGCCACATTCTAAAAGTAAATCAAAGACAAAAACACTTAGCACTGAAAAGGTTTATAAATTTACTTATACCTTGTTCTGCAAAGCCTACAACTCCGTATATTTACCAAACAAATGCCTTAAATACTTTAAAAGAACAAAATTAATATTAGCAGCCTTAGCTCTTATGAAGGTTTATATGGAGGAAAATAAAGGCAGACAGATTAATTCATTATAATACTCTGAAGCACTCAACAATATGGTTGGACTATTAGCTGCATTTTAACCGTATCTGTTTAGCTGTGCAGCTGACACCACTGACTTCAGCAGTTCCGAACATCTTTTTGTCATTATTTCAGCAACACTACTGCATTATTTACTCTTCCTGACTGCATATTATAGCCTGCTGCTGCATTCGGTCTCCTCATTCCTCACACAGAACTTTGTGCCCTTTTAAATTCTGCATTTCATAAATTAGAGTTTAAAAAATTCTGTTCACTGCAAAACATTTCACATTTAAGACATGTCACATGCACAACACTACTGCTCCTTTTAACTGGGAAAAAACCACACACACACACTCTACTGAAAGCTAAGTGTTGGAAAATTCCACATATATAACCATTCCACGGATATAAAGTGTTAAGAAACAAGGAAGTAAATACAGTACAGTGTCCCACTTCCAAACTTTTGAACTAACATAAGTGTATTTTATTAAACAATCTTACCAATTCTATTCAATAGAATTCAGGTGTATCAAATATTCACCCTTTCCCATTCTCCTTAAGACTATGTTACACTTATTTGTTTTACAAATATGCTTTAAAGCATGTACATATATGTATATATAGGGATAAAGAAGTCTTATCAGTACTTAAATAAATATAGGAAACTTATTTGCAACAAATAGGCCTTCGGAAGGCTGGTGACCACCTGTGTTTAAGACACTATTTACAAGTAAAGTATCAATTTAAGATTTGTTTGTGCATGTACAACAGATTGTACTTAGTATCCCTTACATCCCTATCCCAAACTAGTGGTGTTTGAGCATCTCAGGTTTAATATGCAGACATAAAAACCAAGACAAAATGCTGTGCTGTGAGTTGACTGTCACAAGTCAAACCTTCTACAGATGACACTCATTAGTGTTGCTAAAGCTGTAGTTCTCCCACCCCACCAATATTCATCTGCCTTTCAGAACAGAACAAGTAGTTGTTTCTAATGCTCAGTGAGAATTGAGCACTCAAGGAGATTCTGCTAATAAACCATGACCGGCAGGCTGGTCTACCTGAACTCAGGCTGAGTTTACGCTCACAGCATTCATGTAACACCACACCTGTGAGCAGAAGCTCACCCCACCAACAGTTACCTCTTCACTTCCACATTTGGCAACTTCATCAAGACTTTGTTCTGTGACAGCTCTGCTAACACGACACCGCGCTCCCCGAGCGCCAGCGCGGCCGGCAGCTACTCGAGGTGCCCTCTCGGCTTCACATCCATGACACCTGCCCGCGGCCGAGGCACATGAGGCGCAGCGCAGAAGTACAGCAGTCCAGGCACTAGAGGACAGCCTGCTCACTTGACTGAACCTCTACATGTGCAGGACACGCTCCACATCCTTCCTTCCTTGTGCACTAATCAAGTCCACAAGTTGAGGAATCCACTTACAGGAAGCTTCTCTTCAGAATAAAGATTTCTTTAAAGCCGGTGAAAATTTTCACAGGAGTCTCAAAGTGTTGCAAGAATTCTCGAAAATGAGATAATTAATGTCAGTACTGTCTGTCCAACACCAAAGACAAGAGCTTCCAAGGGAGCCATATTCTTCCCTGCTACTCTGTAAATTCCAGCTACTGCAGCACCTAGAAGTCACAGGAGGCAGAGGGAGGGGGATCAAATCATTATCAAAAGCAAAGCTGAAGTAAATGACAAACTCTTTACATAGTCTAGACATTTATTAGACTATTGCAAAACATTGTATTACCTCACAGCATTATGGAATTTAGCCTTGCTTGTCTTTATTTTTCTAATGGTCATGAAAGGCCTTTGAGGTTGATTATCCCAACTGAATCATATTAATTTCAAGCAAGAGACAATTTTACTTTTAAAACACCAATTTAGTTTTAAAAAAAATCAGTTTCCTTGCAGAGTTTTTTTCTGTCTTCTGCTAGCTTGAAAAGATAGCAAAAAGAAAACCCACAAGAAATTTTCCAAACCTTTTTACTATCCACAAGGGTGTACGAGAGACAATATCTAATCAATACGATAAAATACCAAGTTGTAGCATATTAAAGAAATGAGACCAAGCTTTTTGTACACCTCTGAGTGGGTACGCCTTTAACCTCAAAAAGCTAAGATTAGCCAGAAACAAAAATTGGACCGTAAGCAGAGGCAGTTGCCACCAACTCCCTCCTATTGCCTCTCACAGCCTGCATTCACCATGTGTGCTTGCAGAACAGAAGTCACACAGCAAATGGAGAGCTGCGAAGTCTCTCAGCAGAAGATTGTTGTTTCACATCAAATCAGGACAAAAAAAAAAAAATAAAGAAAGAAAAAAAGACATGCTAATGATGAGCAACATTTTTCATTTAAATAACTTCTGAGCCTTTTAAAAGATATTGGACAGTTGCTTGGAGAAAGAAATGCAGTCTTGTTCACTATAGCTCTGTTTCTGTGAGCAAAAATCTTGCTCGAGTGACCTCTGCAAAAACTCCCTTAAAGTTAAGCTTTTTCCCCCCCACTTTATAACATAAAAAAAATATATTATTATATAAAAATATTCTTTTTGTGGACAGTGCTTACTTTTCTCGTCTAAAGAAAACACTGTACTCTATGTCCACTATTCCAAAATTAAGGATTTTTTTCCTAAAAATCAAAACCCAAGAAAAAAAACTATAGACTTTCAGCATGCAACATCTCAGATGCCTTTTTACTGCAATTAAACATTTTCAAAGATCACAGTGGCTTTTTCAGGCTCAAAATAAAACTGAAAACCAAATAGTTAAAAATAAAAAAAAAAAAAAGGAAAAAGTCAGTGGCAAGAAATTTCCAATATTTTAACTCCTGTTTTTCCACAATCTCTAATGGGGCTACTCTGTTAAAGTGACCATAAAGAAGAAACACATTAAGTCACAATAAACTTCCTGTAAATACAATCCATATCTAAATATCATCAGACACATTAAAAACACATTCATTTTTACAAATACTTTTTGGAAACAATGAACTCAGTTATTATTGTGCCCAATACAGTATCCACTTAAGTATTAATAAGCTGATGAGTTTTTTTTTTAAGCCATGTAAAGTATATTTTGTCAGAAATGTCCATCAGACGGTTGACTTGGTATCATTTCAGCTAGCTACTCTGCATAAGTTTTTTCATTTGTTACCTGGCAATCTTCTGTCAAAAACAGATGGCCCAGTACTGGCCTTAAATTTACTTTGTTAAGGACAAATGGTCCAGATTTAATAAATATTGGGAGACCAGAATTTGACATTAACTAATAGATGCCTTTGATTTCTTAGGAAAATATTCTGGAAAATATTGGTAATAAAAACAATAAAAACATCAAAATTTGGCAGTTTGATAATCATTTTTGTTTATATTTGTAAAATAACAGTTCACAATACATCCTGTAATACAAATAGTCTGACATTTATCTATTCTTGTTCATTTCTTAACAAAAGGTACTGCTATTTAGCTAGTATTCTACAGCTTCTTCTACAGCCAGTAAGCTCCATGGTTTCTCAATGTCCAGGAACAAAGGATTCTCTTGATTTTCCACATGCTGGTAAAAAGATCCCAGTAGTCCAGAAAGTTTGAAAGATCTATCATCTGTAAAATTAAACCTGCATTATTTAATAAGCTATATTGCATTCACTCAGCTGCACATAAATGATGCAGAGGATTGGAAATACAAATGGAAAATGAAGCCAGTTTGCTATTTCAATTTGTTAAGCATTGGACTGGGCACATTGAAAAGATTAAATACTTCGACTTGCATCACAATAGCTATTAAAAAATCTCTTCTTCAATATTTCATCACTGTAATTTGTCTTCAAAAGCTCCTCATGGAATTTCTTTCTGTTTGAAACAACCCAGTGGTGAACAGAGCGGGGGGGAAAAAAAAAAGTGGAAGTAGAAAATAATCAGCTACCCAAGTTGTGATGCTCTGTGAACAGGTCTGTGGTCTAATCCTCAAGAGATTCTCACATCAAGTGCATTATTTAAACAGGAACTGCACTGCTTATCTGTTAAATGTTTTAACCTGCAAAATTGGGTACCAAAAAGCACAACTGTGTTGCTCCTTTTTATGCATAGATAGAAGAAAAAGTCCTTTCATTTGGCAAGTGGTGAATCTTCTACTTAGATGAAAAATATTCAGAAATAGTCATGTCTAACAGAGCCACTTGCTCACTAATCACAAGGCAATCCAGTACCACTGCAATGTGAAATGCAAAGCACTTGACCCATACACGACATGTGCTGGCAAGAGGAGTAGATTTTTATGGAACTATACAGTAGTAAAATGATGGAAATAAAGTCTAATGAAAATATCCTTTTCAGGAAAACCTTAAGTTAGCATTTACTCTGCTTACTACAAGGGTGCATTTTATAAAATTTTCCCCTTTACCTTGAAAACTAATTGACTGAAAGCCTTTCAGCAGCAACAAGAAGTAATTTGTCCTCTCTACATGGGCCTGAAGACAATAGCACACTATTCCCACCTTCCAGGCAGTTCAAAAAGATGGGAATGAAAGGCAGTACGACTTGCCTAGAGTTAAAGTCTTTCTCGTAGTCTCTAGCTCTGCAGTTCCTTTTTCTCAACAAAAGATGTACTGTATGTTAAGGTGGGCTATTATGTTAACAGCATCAAAAAACAATGGGTGGAGACCATCATTTAATTCTTATAGGCCCTATTCAATCCATTCATTTTAACACTGAGCAGTCCTTAACAGCATTATTTTGGGCAATAAAGTGAAATCAATATTCACTATTTATTGCTTTATATATATATATATTAATATATTAATATATTAATATATTAATATTTATGTATTTATTGCTTTCCAGCAGAAAGCTTGCAGTGCTCCTGCCTACTGGGAAACACTACTATAGTCCATTTATAAGTTAGGTTAAAGCAACTATGACTAACGGGATAAAGCCAAAGTCTGAATAAAGTTACTTACTGATCTTAAACCGACATATATTCTAGCATAAACACAAGCAACAATTTATTTGGAAATGTGCAAAGCAGCATCGATAACACATTTGTAGGTGGAAACAACTGAGCAGCATTTCCTTCAAAATGTGCATGGCAGTATCACTTGCAGACTACATTAGCTTAGTGTTTCTGCATTTAATTTACTGCTATCAAAATATTTCATTCTTCCGTGTGGTTTTAACGGTGATTATAAATTTGGCTAGAGCACTATGGACCTCATATTAGCTCATCTTTCAGCATGCTGCTTTAACAGAAGAATGCATTAGCATCCCATCTGTGGATATAATGTCAAGAAAAAAAAACAACCAACCAATAAAAACAAACAAACAAACAAAACTGTCTTAAGTGATAATGCAATGGACTAGCACCATAAGAAACTTTAACACTAAATTACCATGGAACATTGTGGCTAAGACAACAGCACAGCCTAAATGCACTAGCCTAAGTCTGATGGCTTTCCTTGCTTTTGCCCCTATCCCAAATAAACTAGATGGTGCTGTTATGATCACACAAGACAGATACGTTCCTTCAAACCCATGAACTAAGCATAACTATTTGGTCTGCTTTCTTGCTGACTGGCATGTGTAGTAGTCTTTTTTTTTTTTTTTTTAAGAATAATTAGAAGTCGTCATATTTCTCTGCTGGAAAGCACCATTTAGTTTGCATCTTCACTCCTTTTAAGAGAGTAACAACCTATCCAGATGTAGTTGAATGGCACTGGAGAGAGGTTTTGATCAAAAAACCTGTAGCAAAATATCTGTAGCAAGTACAGTAGCGCAGCATTGCTCCAACAGACCCCCCCACAAGCTATTAATTATTGACCATACATCCTAGGAATTGCTGCAGGTTACCAAACTGACAGAACAGCAGAATGTCTCTGCTCCTCTGACAGTTCTCTGATAGCTTTCTCTTTACACATTTGGAAGAGCAACTCAGCTGGCATTTTCAGAAGGACTGCTACGGACTAAGGCATATTTTTTTCAAATATAAACAAGCACTAAATGACCAGAAAACTTATTTGATAGTTAAATCATTTATTTTACATCTATTAAAAGAATAAAAGACTTACTGGTTATCATTGCTCCAGTTACAGAACCCAGAAATCCGATGCTGACCATTATGACAGAGATCAGCCTCCCCTGCCTATGCCTCTGCAGCATCACAAACATTAACACTCCCACAGCACCATGGACAAAGAGAGAGGAGAAGAGAGCCCACAGGAAAACCCAGTACCACATCTCTGAAAGAAAGCAGTCAAATAAAAGGTTAGTATTTCTGAAGAAATAATCATAAAAAAAAATTCCAAAATATTGCATACAACTAACAAAAGTCAACGCAACTTTTTTTAGTCTTAAAAGTAACATGCTCAAGATATCTTAATGGAGAAAGTATCTATGACAAAAACAATAAATTCAGTTATATTAAAAATGTCTCTTGCTCAGTTTTTGTAACAACACACCTGAACTAAGTCAAAGAACAGTTTCTTTATACAATGACATAGTTCTCAAAGTACAATAACAAACTGCTGCACAATAAAATATGTAAAAAAAACCATGGAGTACAAATTTGTGTTTCTCTGACACAATCATTACTGTGAAAGCAAAAAGAGTGACTGGATTTAATCAACTACAGAGATGGTTGTTAAGTATTATCATAGGATTCAGGAAATTAGGCTGCATTTTCCCTATTCACACAATCCATGAAGCTCTCATTTTCAGAACCTCTGCAGCAGTTGCTTCCCTCCTTCCCACCCCACAAAGAAGCTCAAAGTATCCTGCTGTATGATTTTTTTTTAATCAGGTGATTTTGTATTATTATAGCTTAACAGGTAGCAGTCATTTGAGTAGAAATATGACCAAATTAGTAACAATAACAGTTATACACAGCAGATCAATCAAAATTATGCGAGAAGATGCTAAGAAAGAAAGAATTTCAGTCCTTGGATCATATGCTTCACTCAAACATTCATGATATGTATATTCACAGAATAAAAATAAAAAAAAAATGTTTAAGCTTTTGATTTAGCAGCACTTTAAGAGTAGACTTATCCTTCCCACTTCACAGAGGCATAAAAAGGCAAATTGTATCATAGGATTTACGATTTCCTCTAAATACCAAAACAACAACAATAAAAATTCCCTGAGGAAAGAGGGAAGAAAGGCAGGTGGTGAATATTCACACAACATAAGACTAACTTCTCTTTGAGCGTGTAGGTATATGGACATGTATATTGAAGGTGGCTCCATCTCTCCCCCTTGGCCCCAAATTGGACTTCGAAAGCCTAGGGACTGCAGAACTACTCTGCCAGATGCCTGATCACTCTTAGAAGCTACTGCAATAGCAAGAAGAGTACCAAGCACTCACTCCACATAAAACACAACCTTTCTCACACGAAACCTTCCTACAGAAATGCTGGCTGTTCATCTTGCCTACCACCTTTAGGGACAGTTGCAGAGGGGAATCACTCCTGCAGCCTCCTAACAGTTACTCTACAGACTGCGCAGTCCGCAACAGACTGAACAAGTTCCAAAGTCTCAACTGCTTTGGCCACACTCATGGTGAGAATCATCATGAGGACTGTACTCCACATCACCATGTAGATTACATGGAAAAACAAAAATCAGAGAAATACAACCTAACATAAAAACCAAGTATGCATCTCACAGGTACCCGTCTTCTATTCACTCTGCATGAACTTACACATCCAAGCTTGTCAAACAGAAGTAGCTGAAAAGCTTTTCCCTATAAAGTTACTTGGGAAAATGAGGGGCAGAGAGTTGAGGAGGACCCTATTGTTTACCCTCCCCTACTTACATACACATGAAAGATTTTGATCTGCTACAACAAGAACTAGTTTTCAGAAGCAATGAAAGATTAAAAAAAAAAAAAAAAAAGCATTTTATTCTATGGTCTCCCTCATGGCAAAAATATTCTTTAATTTCCTAAGGAATGCTTATTGGGCTTTCCTCTTTTGAATGGTTAGAAATTCAAAAGAAAGAAATAGGCTGTGAAAGAAGATTCAGTCAAGATGATGAGATGTTCACCAAGTAATATTACTTAGCATTTCATACTCAGGTATGAGAGTCTTGCTTTTTAATATTTAGGCCGTTGAATACAGCAGTTTTACAAAAAAGTGCACTGTGGAAACCACAATTAATAGCTTAACTCTGTGCATACAGGCTTTAAAGATGCAGCTGCACAGCACTTCAAATTACAGTGCGATTTCGAATGACAAATTTAGAAAATAACATCACATAGGATTTATACTTTGATGCAAAATAGAAAAAAAAATCACAATACTCAACAAATATGCTGAAGTCTCAAAAGCTTGACATGACAATAGCTTTTTAAAAACTGATGTTACAGAGATGGGAAATTCAATCATACACAGGTTTCTAACCATTGCATTAAAACATATCTTTCTACTTGGAGTTTGGCTTTTTCTATTGAGGGCCTAGAACAATAAAAAACAGCAGCATGCTTTCCATAAAACTTAAACAATGCTACAAAACAGTGTGATGATCCTAAATCACAAGTCTTCCATCATAGTCATCTTTGTCATATCAATGTAGCTGTTAATCAAAACAACAGCTCTGTAATTCATAGAATCATAAGAACTATTTATTAGTATTTTCTACTCTTTCAGCTACAGACTATATATTTAGCAAGAGACCACATATTTACCAGCAATTCATTTTGATTCAAAAATTTTCTTCAGTTTTTTTTTAGATATCATCCACTTTGTTAAAACACTGCCTTATTCCAAGGTGCTAAAACAGGACAAAAAAATCTCTCTCTAGCTTCTTCCATTCCCTCTTTTACTTTCCTCACCCTCTTTCATTTATCCCTTTTTCATGCTTGGTAATTCCACACACTCACTTATTTTTCTCTGCTCATAAGTAAGCCCAGTGCTGAACACGACTGAATAAACAGGCAGTCCGGATAGAGAGGGCAAGAGGTGCAGACACCCCTTTACACAACCTGCAAGGGGCTTCCAGCTCCCCAAGCCTAGGGGGCAACTTGGCCATTTTCACCCCGGCAGATTCAGAGCGGAGAAACTGAGGTGTGAGCATTTCTGAGGGAAAGATTATCAAGTTCTATAAAATCCAGCGTGATCCAATTCCACAAGTATGGAGATGGCCTGAAGAAAAAGTGTGCTGTGGTAATACTGAAGCAAAGCACACACTGCGGGTAATTCTCAGAGATGCCAACAGAGAATAGAGCAGCAGAACATGGACTTTAGGTCAGCAAGGGTCAAGGCTTCCTTATCCAAATATATATATATTTTTTTAATATCTATAATCTTAAAGAAGTGAGATTATGAACTTAGGTATAAACTTAGCTACATGACTATCACTGATACCTCAGATAAACAGCATTCTGTCAAAATAACTCGGTGTTTATGTAGCTACACTAATCATCTTGCTTTTCTGCTGCTATGAGCTGCACATGAGAAATATTTTGCTGGTACAATAATATTGATTTAGCTATACTTGGATAAGAGTTCCAAATACAAACTTAGTCTCAGTTTATTTGGTCAGTTCTTTTCAGAGCTACTCTAAAGAAACAGGGATAAAATAAACAAAATTTTAAGGAAACTTCCTGCCTCTGTTTTACCCTTTAAAAGTTATCAAAGTTTATTGTAACATATTCAAATTACTTTAAGTAGACAAAACGCAACACATTCATGCCAGATGTCAGCACTTTTCAAAGGAATGCTAGGAACCAGAAAAGGTTCAGGTACTTATTAGCCTACAAGGACAGTGGCACACAATCTATTGCACAGAAGCCACAGCTGTTCTAATAAGGATAACCAAGACCTATTTTTAAGTCTGTTTAAATCCTTATCCCTTAAGTACAATTTTAAATTTCATCTTCAATTTATGCTCCTTTTCACCTGCTTTACTTGGCAGAGATTGTACTTCTAGAATAGTTGCTTATCTCAAAACATTCTGTGATTTTGCAATTCATGCTTTATCTTCCCAGATTTGGAGAACTTTGTTAATTTAATTATTTAAACATATCATACAGCTCTGGAGGCATACACAACCTCAATGTTCAAGTTCAGATTTTTTTTTTTTTTTCTCCTTTTAATGCATAATTCTTTCAGGATGCTAAAATTCAGAGTAACATTCATTCATATCACTCAATTTTCAACTTGAACCTTTAACAATTTAAAATTGTACTACATTAACAGTTTTATCTCAGGGAAATAAACACAGAGTCAATACAATAACTGTGTAAGTATTAATATTTACAACAGTTACAAATACGTACACAAATATCTGAGCACGCTGTCCTACTGCCACTCAGTTACAGTAGCAATGCAGTACTTGCCTAGCCCTTCACTTGCAACATTATTTTCTTTCCCTGGCTCTCAGGAAGCTTCCATAATCCAAAACTGAACGTTTGGGAGGTTACTCACAAACCAAGTATGATCTCTCTTGAGATTCCAGTCTACGTAGCTAGTCTGCCACTATTAGCTATAGACAGCAGAGATCGTTTTACTTCTATCTAAAGATATACATAACAGTCAACATAGCAACATGATTTGAAATGCAAGAAATTATATAATGCTACTTCGGTAGATTTGTGAACTTGAGTTCCTACATGCAGATAAAGAAATGCCTGCAAGCTTGGCTTTACACACTGGTTGGCTTACACATTATGGTATTTTTATCATCACTGGATTCTTTTCTTAATTATTGCATTAGCCAGTGCTTTGGAAGTTGTCAGGATTATACAGTCTGTTGTCCGGAGATGCTGACATTTCTGCTGCGTTAACTAGAAAAGAAGCACTTAATGGAGGGCATTTGAATCAGATTACAAACTAGTCCCCTTAAATTGCATGGCAGGGGACAAGGGCACAGCCTAGACAACTGGAGGATCAAATTGTTGCCTGGTGGAGCTCAGGAAAAAAATAAAACAAACACGGAGCATCTTCTATGTGATTCCCATAATCTCATATTGATTCTCCCTCATCAAATTCAGAGGCTCACTTTTAAAATCAGAGATATTATTTTTTAAGTGTACATAAACAGTTATGGAGTCTTGTGTTCATCACCTTAGGACATTAGGGGGCGAAAGGACAGCTAGCCTCATAACTCATGCTGCACTACACAAGTTCTTGTTTGTTTTTTCCCCCTCCTTCTAAAGACTGCAGTGTGTCTTAAGGACACTGCAGATGACAGCCCTCAACCTCCTCCCTCTACCCACTACCAAGTGATTAATGCAAATACATTCAGATGAAAAATTCAAATTTTCTCAACATGCAATAACTGGATATACACAAAGAGCTAGAGCAGTTATGTGAAGAGCAGAAATACTAAGAACTTCTCTAATATGGATCTAACCTCTAAATATTTTTTGATTACATGCTCAAATTGAGATGTATTTTTGGTTCAGATTTGGCCATTATCAGACTTGCTCCCCTAAACCTTCGCTTATTAACACACAAGTAGTCTATAGTGAAAGGGCTATGGTAGAGATTTGCTGGAAGAGATAAAAAGGGGTGACATAAGACCCTCCTCTCCCTGTTCACTTGATCCCCACCTCCATCTTCTCCAGTAATGCTCCTCTCCCTCCTAGTTGCGCCCTAGGTTCGGCTAGAAAGAACAGTGCTGGAAGTCTTAGCTGTCATGGGGTAGAACACACATGCGGCAAGAATCAAGTTTCCTGAAATGCTATGTGATAGTAGTAATAAAAATGATTATTATTATTATTGAGGTGGGTACATGGAACCCAAATCAGGTTTATGGCATAAAATAATGGTTTGGTTTTTCATTAAGATAAGAAATTAAACTATTAACACTCAAAACAATTTCTTGTTTCACCTGGAGCTCTGACCACCTCCCCGTTGAAAACTTTGAAACTTTGGCGGGGGGGGAAGTATTTTTAAGAAAGATACGAGTTTGTTGACAAAATGGTACCGTTTTACAAAAAAAACATGATCTACATTGTTTATCTAAAGATTTTTTTTTTTTTACTTGGCAAGTTTAAGTCCAAAGCATAATTAAATCCACAAATAACACAAAATGGTCTCAAAAGACATTCACAGAATATTTTAATTTTAGGAATGTCTTTAACCAATACTGTGAAATAGTTTCTTGTATTTTATACATATTACTTAATTTGTTTTCTTTTGCATTCAAGAAGATGATTAACTCGCATCTTTTCTCTGATGAAGAACCTAAATTTTCAGTCTTTGAGCAGAAATTTACTTCTACACTCGGTAAGTACTTTAGGACGGGTTTACATACGTTTCGTAACATCAACATTCATTGATATCAAGCGCTACATTACTGATTATATCTCAGGGCATTTTTCTTTTTAACATCGTATCTTACACAAGAGATTTTTACCCAGTGAAAACTGTTCTTGTGGACTGGCAACAACGAACAAACTATGACTGCACGGACAATCTACATTCCAATACTGACTAGGAAACTATAGGGCCTCTGCAAATGACACTAACCTACTCTCCAGCATTACAGCAGATAATTACTCCTCCTGTTCTTTAAAGTGAAAAAAACCACCACAGCCGCCCCAACACTAAAAACTTTACGCAACTCTTCATTATATTGCAAAACCAGCAGGAAACACACTGTTTTTCTTACTTAATGCTTAGCATTTAACCGCTTAGAAATGCCTATTTTGCATAATGCTCTAAGAAAGAAAAACTTTATGGAGGATGCCTGTCACAAAGAAACGCTAAATCCATTGTTAGTCTTTTCCTTTAGGGGTACATATGCATTTTTACAGAAGCAAACAAGAATAATTATTCAGAAAATGAGCCAGACTAGTGCTCAGGAATTTTAATCAGACATACATGAAAAGTTCACTGATCAATTTAAGAAGTGGACTGTGTACTTTTTTTTAAAGTATGTATTTAAGTGTCTCCTAGAATTTAAGAACAAGAAGTGCTAAAACAAAATGCAACACAACCAGTTTGTATTTGATCTTCAACTTCAGCTCATCTCTTTCCACCCTATTTCTTCCATCTGTGATATAATTGATATTTTAACCTTTCATCATTAATATAGATGGGCAAGTAGACGGCACAGTATTTTTTTCATATGTCTCAAAAACACATATCCTTCTCACTTTTTCTATTAAAATGCCATCACTATCTAGTATACTGCTATGCACAGGGAAAAGAAGTAACACTTCTAGCCAGAAACACCTCCAGTAACGTGGATTCCTTACTAGTCCAGGGCTAGGAACTTGTGATTTTGTGCAAACCTGAGCAGAACAGGCAAACAGGAGACACAACCTGCCCCACACACCCTCTGCAACACTCCCACACTGCTCTGCAGGTCCACACCATCACGAGACATGGCAAATCGGGAAATCCATTCCTGCCAAGGCTCGCCAGAGCTTCCCCTGCTTGGCAGGGAAGGAAGCCCGGGCTCTGCTGTCGCCTTTGCAGCCGGGGTTCGCAGCGCTTCTCCAGCGCAGCTCAGTCCATAGGAATGCCCAACTCTCCAAGCTACGCCCGTTTGCCAGGAAACGCCAGGCACCCTCTTGACTCCCCCAGCGCCGATGCTCTGGCAGCACGCTGAGAACGGCAAGGAAAGCCCCGCTTCCCACACGCGCCTCGTCTCCCCGCTTTCCACGACTTTCGCGTGCCAGGGAACGCATCCCCACGAGGACACTCCCCCCGCGCCCGGCACACTCCAGCCTCCCCTGCGCCCCTACGCGTCCACACGCCCCGCTCACCAACGCCCTCGCGCTCACACCCGGTGCCGCTACCCTCACTGCGCGCGCACCCGCCGAGCCGCGCGCACCCGCCGCCGTTACGCGCGCGGCCGCACACACGCGCAGCCCCCGCGCCCCGAGCCGCCGCCCCGTTACCGGTGAGGTGGCGCAGGACGGTGCCGTGCGCCCACAGGCTCAGCACTTGCTGCACCGACAGGTTGATCATGGAGTTGTCTCCCGTCTCCACCTTCATCTTCGCGGCGGGCGCGGCGGCCTCCGCGGCCCCCCTTCCTCAGCCGGGCAGCGGCGGCGCGCCGAGGACGGCCGGCCCGGCGGCCTCTCGCCGCGGGGCTGCGGGGCGGGCGGGCGGCGCGGAGGAGGAGGGCGGGAAGGCGGCGGCGGCGAAGGGGCCTCGGCGCGGCGGGGGCGACATCGAGGAGCGGGGCAGCAGGCGGCCGGAGGGAGGGAGCCGGACGCCCGGGCCGGCCGCTGGCGCTGCCCCGCGACTCAGGAGCGGGGCAGCGCAGACCCGGGGGCGGGCGCCACGGCCCGCGCGGAGCCCATCGCCGCCGCCGCCGCCGCCACCTCCCGCGGCGCTAACGGCCGCCGGCCCAACGGCCCCAACGGCATCGCCGCGCCGCGCCCCGGCATCACCTGCCGCGCGAGGCACCGGCGGCTGCCCTGCGGCCGGCGTGAGGGGAGGCGGCGCGGGGCCGCGCTGCGCAGGCGCGGAGAGCTGCCCCGGGGAGGGGAGGGCGGCAGCGGCGAGCGCCCCGCGTGGGGAAGGGGCGGGCTCGCGGGAACCGTTAGGGAGCGCGCGAGCCGCGCGCCTCTCTCCCATTGGCCCTCGCCATGGGGACGGGCTCACCCCACGTGCCCGTGGCGCCGCCCCCGCGCCGCCCGCGCCGTTATTGCCGTTATTGCCGTTATTCCCGCTATTCCCGCTGCGGCCGCGCCGCTCGCGTGCGCTGCGCGGCTAAGCGGGACCCTGAGCGCCGTCACCGTTCGAGTCCTGAGGAGCAGAACGCACAAGCGGGGCACAAAACCCGAGAGCACGAGTTCTAGGCTTCCCATGGCTCCCTCCTCGGGGGCTCGGGCTCAGGCTGCCCCGGCTCCGCTCCTCAGCGGTGGGGCTGAGGTGAACGTGGAGGGTTGCTCTAAAACCCTGGCGATGAGTAGTGCGTGGGGCAGAATGGGGCAAATCCCACAAGGAAACTCATAGGGGAGAATCGCGGGAGCCTGCCCCACTCTGGAACCCGCCTTCCCAAATCTTAGTGTGCCTCTTTACACCCAACCCATCCCTTTCCTCCTTACTACATTAACTATATGACCAGTTAAATTAGCAGTACCCATTGCCCAGATGGAGGTTGGGTGGGGGCAGCTGCCGAGTGTGGCGGATGTTTCCTGCACGGCACTAGGATAGTTCCCCAAATACTCCGGGAGAATTTCCAGCCTTCTCCCTCCCTGCTCCCTACTTCCTTCAGGCCCCTCTTGCCCTTCGTCTCCCAAGTGTCGGTTCTGCCACTGCAGAAACTACAGCGAGGGGGGAATTTTGCTTGGGAAGCCTGGAGCTGCCTTGGGTTGAAGCGGCAGCGGTGTGTACAGCAGAGGCGCCGAGCATCCCAAGGCAACGTCCCGGCGATGTCTATGTAGCAGGCACTGCTTGCAATTTCCGTGAATGGTTAGCGAGTCAGGCATTGAAAAACACACAATTGGTGGCTCCCTAGGTGCCTCTGGGTGCAACTGATTTAAGCTTTATCACTGGAAGAGAGAAAGCATCTGGCTGCCAGGCTGGGTGACACTCCCATGATCAATAAGGTTTTTCCTCTTCCTACAGTCCCATTATTGCAGCCACCTACAGTTGAATAATTCAGACAGGGTCGTACAGACAATGGTCTCCTTCATTACACAACAGTGATGTATTCTCAAAGCAGAATTATTCCATACCCCTGTGGGAAAAAAAAAAAAAAAAAAAAAAAAAAGAGAAAAAAAAAGCATAAAAGCATACCATTTATTTTGCAATGGAAAACAAACAATGGGGAGTTTAGAAACTTTTTTTTAACTCTTGCATGGTGAATTTTAAGAAGTTAAAGATTTTTTAGAGCACTTTAAAACAAACCCTAAATCAGACTGCAGACTGTATTGTAGATAAGGATACCTCACGAGATCTGTGACACTAATCAGAAGAACTCTGAAATAAAAAAGAAAGTAACATATTTTGGACATTTTAATTTATAAACACTTGGAATTTACTGTCAATATCAGAAAAACAGCCTAGGAGATGAGAGACATGTATGGAAGTATGCATATATCTCTCTATATGCTGCCTTGCTGGTGCCCAGTGACTTTTCAATCTTCACGCCGATGGTTTTTATCTTCTATTCAAGGAAGGCTGCGTTGGCCGTACTGGCTGTGGATCACTCATGCCCGGAGCTGGCTAAAACACCCTCCGCAAAGCTGTTGTTTTATGACAGAGGTACAAGGAACTCATTCACCTGGAAGGCAACTGAGTGTTGCTGTGAGAAAAACGGCTCTAGCTCCCAGGCCTTCGTAGCATCTGCCCTGCTGGGGCCTGTCCAGACACAGCTCGGACAGGCCTCCCACACAGAGGAAGCAACATCCCTCTGGAGATGCCAGAGCTTCTCCACACAGACGGCAGAGCCCCAGTGCTGTCGAAACTCCTCCAGCGAGGCTGTCACACGTCAGGCGGGCATTCACCTCCAGGCTTATGTCTCCTTATTTCCACGAGTTTGCTTTCCTGCTCTGCACAGGTCCCACCGTGGCTCCACTAACACTCATCCCTCCTTTCTTGCCTGCTTGCTGCTCTGCCACACTTGGTGTAGCAGCTGCTCCTGCCCTAGATCTCCTCAGAGTTTCATAGCCATCTGCTTTCCAGCATGATTTTTGTAAAAACAAGGCGATCTGGATTATGTGAAAGAGCAAAACAAGAACATGATCTCAGTGTTTCATCCGATACTTCCTTAAAGTATTCAAGATGAAACTGGCCTTCTTGTCAGGGCCGGGTGAGGCCTCGCCTGCACAGCTCTGTGCTGCCGCAGCACCCTGCCGGGACGGGGGACGAAGTTTCTTCGGCTCGAGCAGCAGAGCCCCTTTCCCTCCGGCACTGCCAACAGCCCCTTCCCTTCCCTTTTCCCTTCCCTTCCCTTCCCTTCCCTTTTCCCTTCCCTTCCCTTCCCTTTTCCCTTCCCTTCCCTTCCCTTCCCTTTTC